GGGCCTCTGAACCGCCCTCCCCGTGCCCGCCCCCAGGCCCGGGTCTCCCCTGAAGGCCCCCGCCCGCAGTGTGGAGACCCAGTGGGCTGCCTTCTCAGGTCTGGTCAGGCTGCTGGCGGAGGACGCTCTCGTCCTGGGAGGCCCCGCAGCCTCCGGCCCTGGAAGGCCAGCCCAAGCTGTGCTGCCTGTCCTGAGCGGGGCCACGCGGGGACCGCCAGGGGCAGCCGGGGACAGGCGCCGTGCCTCCTGGGCGCACAGCAGCCCAGGCCCGGGGCGTGTGCGGTTCTGAAAGCTCGAGATGAACGCCCAGGAGCCGCAGGGGAACGAGAAGAGCGGGGTAGGGCACCCAAAGGGCCGTTGAAGCAGGGCTGGGGGGGCAGACCTGGCTGTTTATCAGAAAGATCGCTCCTCGCGCTTCCGGGGCTGTGGCCTTGTGGTCCTGGGTGCGCAGCGTGTTCTCTCTGCTGGGGCCCGGGGGGCAGGAAGCCACGGGGCCTGGCCTGCCACATGCCCAGCCTGGGTTCAGTGACCAAGGCCAAATCCATGATGCCAGCCTCTACTCCCCCTCAGGGGACCCCCACAGGGCTGGAACCAGTCCCCTGATGCATCTCATCCTGGTGAGCTGAGAGTGCAGACCCCTGCAGACGGGCATGGAGCCCGCAGGGAGGAGACGGCCTGCCTCTCTCCACCCGCACCCCAGGGCCCTCTCAGGCCCCCAGGGCTCCAGCCGTCCAGAGGGCGAGTGGCCTGGTGAGCCGGGTCAGCCTTGCCCAACCACAGGATCATCAGCTCCTGGGGTGAACACGGCTCCCCGTCATCGTGCTTGGCACAGGCCTGCTGAGATCAGAGGAGAGTATAAATACATAAATATCCAGGACTTTGAACTGGATGGCTTCCAGGAAGTTTTTCTTTTTTTATCCCCAGTCTTTTACCACTTTCCCCCTCAATGTTAATTTTTCTGTCCAATCATCTTAACTCTTTGGGGAAAATTTTGAAAGTTCTCTCGCCTTTTTCATTGTGAAAGCCTTAGTCACGTCGCAGAATGTGGAATAAGAAAAGGTGTCCTGGCCCTCCGGCAGCACGACATGCCAGTGACCTTCTTTCTAACCAGTGAAGGACATTTTCAAAAAGGAATTTGTGATCCCATTGCTCTTGGGTTTTCTGTTTTGTCAACATTGCATTTCAGATGTTCTCCACGTACATATTTCTCACACACCTGTTTCAGAGATGTGTTTGTAGCCAGAAGGTGCACAGTTTCATAGTCTGCTTTTCTCAAGTAATGCAAATCCACATTTTCCTATGTTGCTAAGTCTTCCGATCCCTCTGCTTTGGTCATTTAGGTTGTTTGTAGCATTTTTTTTTTTTTTTTGCAGTATTTGTATTTATACAAATTTGTAATAAATAACTGCACTTACCACTTTTTTCTTCTTTCACACTGTTCTCTGAGTATAAATGCCTTTGTGAAGGACAAAGACTATGAAATTTTTTTGTGGCTTGATACAACTGCTTGCAATGATCACTAACTGGCATCATAGGAGAGCACAGCTTCAACACAATCTTTTAGAGATGCTTATTGGTAAAATATCTTTCCACTTTAACAGGTAATGAGGTGAAGTGGTAACTCACTTCAGTTTACATTCTCTGAAAACAGTAAGATTGAAAATGTTTCCAGATGTAATTCCTCTCATGTGAACTAATTATGTCCTTCAGACATTTGTTTATCTATTACAATCTTTTGTGTTTCTAATAATTTGTATCAACTATTTATTTAGAATAAATCATTATTCCATTTGGTTCCCAGGCTTTTTTTCTTAGCTATTTAAAATTTTTGTTTTACATTTTCATAGTCAAATTCATTGCTTTAAGCAATTTCAGAGTTTAGAATGTTACTTTTTCTCTGATGATCTAAAAACATTCACTTTTATTTTTTAAATGTATTTATTTGGCTGCACTGGGTCTTAGACACGGCACACGGGATCCAGTTCCCTGACCAGGGATGGAGCCTGGGAGCCCTGCACTGGGAGTGCAGAGTCTTAGCCACTGGACCACCAGGGAGACCGCTTCAATTTTGTATCCTCTTTTTAAATCCACATATTTTTTTTTTTTTAAGATTTCTAAGTTTCCCACCACCACCACATTAAACATATTTCTAAGAACCCCGCTGCACCGCGATGTCAAGTTCCCTGTGTATTCAGCCAGCACGCTGCGTCCGTGTCTGCGTGTGTCCGGGGAACAAACGGGGGCTTGCTGGTGGGAGGCGCTGGCTTCCACGTCCGCTTTACCACCTGACCGCCATGTGCAGCTGGGCTCCAGCTCCCGTCTTAGAGCAGGCGGGACAGGGCCTATCTGACCGGGGGGACCCCGTGGGACAGCCGGGGAACACTCCACAGCAGCCCTGCCCCCCTTGGGAGCTGCGGGCTTGGCTGCCCTGCCCCCACCCCTGCCCCGGGTGTCTGTGCACACTGCGGGTGGGGGGCCACGGTCTGAGATCGCCCCGGACACCTCCTGAGAGGTCATCCCCATCTGGGGGCTTTCGGACTGGGCCAGCGCAGGTCCCTGGGGCTGGGGTCTCGCTGGCGAGTGCCACGGGTGAGGGGGCTTCTGCTGTGAGCTGACTGGGCCCCTGGTGGGCAGGAGCGGGTGTGTCCCCAGCCTCTGGACAACGAGGGTGCTAGAAACAGGAGCCCTGGCTTCACTCACGGTCATCGCCGGCTGCGGGGTGCTTCCTCACACACCACGCTCCCGAGCCCTCCGCGTGCTGTGCCTGCGTGCGCACGCACGTGCATGTGTGGCTGTGTGCACGCGTGCCTGTGCTGGCATATGGAGTGGGGAGGGGTGTCAGGGGAAGGCCGGCAGTGGTCCCCCCGCACCGCGGCTCCCCAGCCCAGGGCCAGCCCCACCCTGGATGGCAGGGGTGGAACAGGGTTTCAGAAACTCTCAGGGACCAGACCGGATGGCCGGGAAGGGGCAGGAGAGTCTTAGCGTCCCTGGGGGAAGCGCTTTGGTGACTCAGAGTGAAAGTGTCTCAGGGCCGCAACCTCACTGCGGGCCTGGGGGAGGTGGGTCAGGGGTGAGAGGAAGAGGGCGGCTTTCAAGGAAAGCGAGATTCCATCTCCTCCTTCGGGGCTGCAGACTGAGGCGGCAGGAACCCGAGAGGATGGCAGGGAAGTCCCCCGGCAGGACAGGGCCCCGGGCGTGTTTGGAGAGGAAGTTGCAGGTCTGGGTGGCGATTACTCAGCCCCTGAGAGCTGCTCGCCAGCACCGTTACTTCCCAGTGATCTCAGCCCGTCTCTGGTTACCGAGGCAGGCCTGGTGGCTGGGAGGGGGTGCGGGGCGGGGGCCATCCCTTTCGCTGCCCTTCCCATGCCACGCTGCCCGTCCTAACAGGGCGGACACCCACCTCTCGGTGAACAAAAGACCAGAAGAAGATGACGGGGTGCTCCCTCTCCGCTGCCCCCGCGTTCCTGGGGAGCTTGAAGCTTTAGTGCAGAATGGCCAGGAGGCGGGCAGACCCAGCACCGCGGTGAATGGGCGACGCCCGGAGTCACCCTCCAACGCAACACACACGTGAGGAGCCGAGGAACCTGAGAAAGTCCTGACGGTCGGATCTTTCTCACAGCGACTTTGTGACTTATCTTGAAATGCCACACTTGCCTGAGTTTCACAGCGTCTACTGGGGATTTCCCTGCCGGCTGCTGTGACCGGGGCAGGCTGGCCCGGGAGGACTTTGGTGACGGCCAGGCTCAGCCGGGCTTGTGCAGGGGTGCAGGGGCATCGGGGCCCCGGCCCCCTTGCAGAAGAGATGGCCTGGAGGCTCGGGCAGGGGGCTGGGGTGGATGGAGGCTCAGGGGTGCAATGCATGGGGACTCCAAGCCCGGGCACCTCTGTGCTGAACCGGAGAGGAGGAAGGGAGGCCCTTGCAGACTTGGCCTTGGTGGCTGGGGGTGCAGGCCTCCCCAGAAGGTCAAGGACTGGTTTCTGAGCTGGCTGAGCTGCGGAAGGCCGTGAACTTCTGGGCGAGGGGTGAGACGCACGGTGGTGGCGGGAAGGCCAGGTTGTACGGAGGTGTCTGCGCCAGTGGAGACTGCAGGCCTGGCAGAAAGTGCATGGGTAGGCAGGGCCTGGGGCGGAGCCCTGAGACCAGTGCGTGGAGGGGAGCTAGGGCCAGAGGGGGGGGAGAGGCTCACCCTCAGGTGACAGCGTCTGGAATTTCAAGCTGCCCCCAGGCCTCACGGAACAGGGTGCGTCAACCGGAGGGAGTGGGACCAGAAAAGCCACCTCAGGGTTCTTATTCTGAGGGCAAAACTATCTCTAGTTGGAAAGCAGGGGTGGGCTTCCCTGGTGGCTCAGGCGGTAAAAACTCTGCCCGCAATGCAGGAGACGCAGGTTTTCAACCCATGGGAGATCCCCTGGAGAGGGGAATGGCTCCCCACTCCAGCATTCTTCCCTGGAGAATCCCACGGACAGAGGAGTGTGGCCGACTACAGTCCAGAGGTCACACAGTCAGACGTAACTGAGCGACTAACGCTTTCCCTTCACACAGTTTTTAGGTTTTTCTTTAACTGCTCTGGTCTGAATGAGGACAATCCACAAAATCAAAGTGAAGCTTATGGAATAATTGTAGAGACCTGGCTCCCACTGCTGCTGGAGCTGGGTGAGTTCAGCAGACATTCACTTCTAAAGGCGCAGAGGGTTAATTCTGGCATTTTAATTATCAATTCACCAAAAAAAAAAAAAAAAAAGGAAGAAATACAGGCAAAATTAATGCAACATGAGCACAAGGTTTTTGCACCACTGTGCCAAAGCACAGAAAGCGACAGACTTTCAACACTGCCTAAGTCAGGATTCAAACAACTTCTAGTATTAATCACCTCTCATGAATACCTAAATTGTTCAATTTAAACAGAGGTTAAGAGACAGGAAAACCATGTGATGTGTTTGCTCAGGTTCAAATATTAGCCCCAAGACCCCGTATTTTAATCGAGAAACAGAAAAGGACATTTGGTGCCATGCTTTTATTCAAATGAAAGGGGAAAAACTACACTGCACCAGGAAGTAGCAAATATGACAGTATTTTACAGCACAGCATCGTAAAAAAACCTGTAAGCAATGCTCCAGAGTGGACAGCAAGCACACACTGTCCATCGCCCCAAGTTCCACGGAACCACAATTAAAAAGCTGGATTTGGCTTTAAAAACAGCCAACTGAACTGTAACAGTCATAACACAACTGAGCAGCTGAGGGGAATGAAGAGCTTTCCAACGCCTGTCACATGGCAGAATCCGACAGGCCGCAAACTTAACTAAGTAATTATCCAACGTGACCTCCAATGATGAGAAGCACCAATGTGTTTCAATAAGTTGATGACTATCTCCAGACTTTATGAAATAGCATAATTCTCATTTGTATAATTTTAAAAACATAATTTAAAAAAATCCACAGACTTAAATATATCCATATTCTTTCTGCATGAATAAAGTAAAACATCATACTGAGAGCAAGGAACTTTTGTGGCAATATTCACATTCTACCTTTAAACCTTACAGACATCACTGGACACACACAGATTTGAGAATAAAGGGTGGTCCTGTCTGGTCTTACACAGTTACTTCCTCCATTGTCTTGCATCCAGTTTAAAAAAATTTAATGGCCAAGTAATATCACCAAGAAGATTGCTTTGATAAGGGAAATTCCACTGATTAAAAAGAACAAATTTAGTAATGTTGAAGGCTTGTTAACTCTCCTTTTGACTATTACCACATTTTTATTAGATTCACTTACGATTTTTTTAAACTAGTCAATCTATTTGACAATTATTTCCTTCTAATTGTGACCGAAATGGTTGTCTGAAAGGTAAAATGTGCAATCCCTCAGTTGTAATCTTCATATATTATATACACAATATGTATACACTTAAAATATAAGAGTTACATATATCCTGGTCTTTTACATGCAAACAGCAGATCACAAATAGTTCTGAGCTACACATATATCTTGCACAGGTATTGGAAAAAAATCTGTGAAATCTTCTTTTTTACAGTTTAAACAAATATACATAAATATAAGAACATAAATTACAGTAAAATATTGACAGCATTTGAGAAGATGTTGATAGCCCAGGTGCACTGGCGCCAAAGGCCTCATAGTAAGAGAGAAGCACAGTCCAGGGACACCTCACTCCTACTCTCTTTAAAAAAACAAGTGAATACATCATCATATGAGATATTAGTTATTTCTCTGAACAGCTCAATTAGAGAAATGCATATATTTTAGTCTCTACTTCCCATTAAAGAAAACAGACTATGCATCTCATATATGCTACAATACTGTCTTTTCCCTCTAAGTTTACACGTTGTCACAACACTGAAACATAACAGGGTCACAGAATCATTCAAGTCATTTCCTGAGAATGAAGTTTTTCCCCAACTAACCCTCTGGTATGCACTGTTAAAGGAACAAAGATCACGTAGGGAAGAGTTCAAGTGTGTACTTAATCTAAGCTGTCCCACTTGAAAAGGAAAAAAAAAGAAGAAAAACTCAGTATCAGTGAAAGAATGTGAAGCTATTTTAAAATTAAAACGTAGCCCTTTGTACATGTTTAAAAACTCTAAATATAACTTTTTTATCAGTTATAAATACAACGGAAAGACCTCTTGAGAGCATGTGGCAGGAAGTCTTCCATCTTCAGGTTCAGACTACTCTCAAAGTGTCGTTCATTTCTGCCAGCTTATAAAGTGACATGTTTCAAAAGAGACAGAAAGCCTTTTTGTTAAAAGAACAATCTAAATTATTCTGAGTTGGCCAGAAGTGGTGTAAAAACAGCACTGATTTAACAGCAACTTCTTATAACATCTTCTTGGTTAAGCTTGTGTGGTTTTAAGTGAACTATAGCAGCTCTTTACAACAACTCCTCTTGTTTCATAGAAAAACATTAATACTTGAGTGAGTAATAAATACAGAACTGTAAGCACTTCGCAGGGTAATTCGGCAAATGCTCTGACACCACTAAAGCGTGAGGGTTACTGGAAAACTAGCACTAGTGTTTCTCCCCGCGTAAAGAACAGCGCAAGGTGTCTCTGCGGGCCTGTTTCCTACTCCCGTGATCTCCACATGAAACCAAATACAAACATTATCCTGGACCAAACTCCCAGGGCAGAAAAATAGCAAAATAAACCATCTGAAGACACTCATATACATTAACAAGTTGGGAAAAAAAAAAGACAAGCAACAAACAAAACACACAACTGGTAATCCTAGCCATCCGTCAACTAGTGTCCGTGAGAACTCAGTGCTTTGCTGTATCGAAAACGCAGCAGGCAAACCTCCACCTGTGAGCCAGACGCCCGCCATCAGCTGGCCTGTCACCTCGGTGCGTCTCCTGCACTCCAACACTGTGGTCTACATTCCAGTTGTCATGACAACAGGGCTGAACGTTCAGTTTCAATGAATAAAGTCTGTTGGCAATTAGAAAGGGTTTCTATAGGCAGGAGGAATGAAGTGCAAACTTACCATGAATGTTCAGAAGCAGGTATCTCCCAGTTCCTATGCTTTAGTGGGTAACAGTTTTTTGGGCGTCACTGGCCTCTTGGCCTGCCACAAATGGCTGTGAATGGTAATTGCATCAACACTGGCAGATAAAGTTTTAGCAGGTATGTGGCTGAACTGTTTCCTGTCAGAATTGTATTTGTAAAGGCCCTCGATCATCTTCTTAGTGATAGACTTAGGGCCGATCCCAGTCAGTTTACTGATCTCTTCAGTCTCTGGGCAGTAAGTGTACAGAGACCTGAACTGGCAGCCGGAATCCCGGAATAAGATCAGGAAGTTGTTGGCGTCTGACTTCTCCATTTCCTTCAGGATTAGAAACAAAAACAAAACAACAATAAAAGCCCTTAAACACTTTGCCAAACACAATTCATATAGCTGTGTTACATTTCTTCACACGTAATTTAAAACAGCTAACATGAGGCGCAAGTAATACAAGCCCAGCACACTGGGGCTGAATCATGTGCAGGCCGAGGACTGCTGGCTGTGCCGGGATTAAGATCCCAGAGGAACTTCAAGGTCTGCAGGGTCTGCTAAATCTCTACCACTGACAACCCCGCACTGGCCATCTCCTTTGTGACACAGCTCCATTTTAAAAAAGGCAAATCATGTAATCTACGCTTATAAAATGTGATCGAGTGAAATAAAATTTTCTCTGGGCAAGAAAATATTTTATAATTTTATATTTTCATCTTAAGTCTATGCCTAGTCTTGAATGAAATGTGCAGTCTTCCAGAAGCCCATCTGAAAGTTAAGTCCGTCGAATAATGAAAACATAGTTATAGACCCTTCAGATGTGGCTGAAATTCTAGAAGTACCTAAGGAGTGCTTTTACTTGAATTGAAAGAGAAGACTCCTACAATTTTAAGACATTGCCCACCTACCTTTATTTTTTTGCCCAACCTAACTTTCATGCAAACATGCTTACCTCCAGTATTTTTTTCTTCTGACCTTCATTTACTTTTCCAGCCAAACAGCAATGAGCTAAAGCATTTTGTATTATGTGCTTATTGGATTTTGCACTGGGTTCTTTGAAGAGCTTTGGTCCTATGATAAGAATTTAATAACAATAACAGTAAAAATAACATTCCTAAGTCAGAAATACTACTTATGTTTAAATGACACGATTGTGCCTGCACTGATTAAAACTCTAACGTGAAAGCCCCTGACTGCCCTGCCCCGGTCGGGATCCGGTCTTGCCTTCGGGGTCACACCTCGCGGGTCTCCTCTGGCCTCCAGAGGCGGCCTGGAGGGCAGCGCTTTCTGCCACCTTCCTGGGACGTTTACACTAAGAAGGCCCCTCCTCCCTCACACTCACCTCCTCCAGGAGGCCTTCAGTAAGTATGCAGAGAAACCAGTTCTCTGAAGAGAAAAAAATTAGCCCTGATTTGTCATGTTTACCTCTATCTGGAGTAAATTACTCCCACCACGGCTGACTCAGAGCTACCCGTGGCCCTATAGCCACGTACCTCCTGGAGGCCTCACCATGCATCTGACAGCCCCGCAGGCCCAGGCTCCCCGGGGCCTGCACTGACCTTACAGGCTGCTGGGCCGGCTGGAACCGCAGGGTAGGGAGGAAACAACTCTCGAGGAGCCAGCAAGCTCTGCTCCCCTGGGCCTTCGGGGACCACTCGGGGGTCACCCAGATGCCGGCCAGATGCGGGTGGTCCCCGTCACCTCTGCTCCTCCCACCTACCTCTCCACGGCCACTCCCACGTCCTCTCCTGCTTCATTTCTTTAGTTCTCACCCACATGTTATTCTGCGTGCTTCTCCTTCAACGACGCCTCCCCCAGCAGAGCGAGACCGGGTGCCCTCCTGGACCTAAGGCATTCCTTTATCTTTCAGAGCCTCTCAGCACTTGCTCCAGACACACAGCTCCAGACCCTGAAGGCCCAGCATGAGGGGAAGGACTTGAAGGAGCAGGGCTGTTCCCCGCGCTCATGACTGACGTAGGGCGGAGGGACCTCCGCAGACCGAACTGAGACAGCCTCAGACCCAGACTACCACACAGAGACGGGCAGGGCTTTTAGGGTAGAAGTGGGGGGCTGAGTGCTATTGCTCTTTGTTTGAAGCTGAATTCATCTGGGACAAGTCGCCACCACTCTGAGTAGAACCGGATCACAGACACTGACTTACCTGAAAGTGACCGCCTGCCTTAGCCACTGTTTCCCACCGGTCTTCCGTGTGTAGCGCACCCTGCATCGCGTCTCAGCCCCCGTCCAACCGCTTCCCGAGGATAGGCGGGCACTCACCTGTGTACTCCGTCCCTGAGGCCACGGACGACGTGGTGGATGCGTTCTCCCAGTCCTTCTCACCGTTCCGGCTGCCACACCGGCTCGGAGACAAGAAGCCTTCTACAGACTCTGATCTGAATAATAGAAGACATGCACTGTAATGTCTCATATAAAGAAAAATCATTTGGGGCTCAGGAGAATATAGGTGAGCGCCAACCAAACTCAACTCAGAGGCTTAAAAAGAAGATGATGGCGGTCACTCTGTCTCGTTCACAGCCGCAGAGCCAAGATCTCAGTGGGCAACCCCCTGAGTACCTGTGGAGGACAGATGGACGTTCCCACAGGACAACTGACAGGACCTGACGACCTTCACTAGGAACCTTCTTTTATATGGGTGCTACATTATAACATGCTTCATAAGACCATTAAATACTGATTTTTTTAGCTTCTAATACATATACTGGGTTGGTCGGAAAGTTCATTCTGTTTTTTTCCATAAGGTGGTTTGAAACCTCAAACTAATTTTTTGGCCAACCCAACACATCCTTGAGAAAGAGAGAGCATACAAAGGAGCTTTCCTAAGTCACAAGAGGGAGAAGCCTAGAGGCTGGTGCACTAAACATGAGGACTTTCCACTTCAAGCTCGACTGTATCACACTGGCTGACCAACAGTTATGGGTACTATCCTGCTGATGTCATTATCCTAAAATCCAAAAGATAAAAAACTGAAAGAGGAACAGACCTCTTCATATATATTTTTTTAAATAGACACTCGAATTGTCCTAGTCAGCAAAACTTATAACCGTCTGTGACTACGGTGTACGTACTGAGAACATCTATGTTCTCGTTTACGGTGCATTTATGTTCTCAGGAAGACGTCTGTGCTGTGACTCACCTCGGGGTCCTCTTCCCTGAGTGCAAGCTCTCATTATCGCCCATGTTCAGTGACGCCAGAGAAAGGCTTGAGACTGAAAAGACACGACAGATTTGTGATCCTGAATAAAAATTAGAAATTTAAAAGGAGCAACTAGAGAAGAGAGTTCCTTAGGAAATACCAGTGTATGAAAATTGAGCTTGTACAGTTTCTTTTCCTTTTTAGATACATAACATGCTTGCATGCATATATGCATAATTTATTTAAAATGGGCAAGGAACCTACTTTTGAGAACTAATGAAATAAGTGAGGGAGATTGAGAGATACAACCTCCAGTTATAAGATAAATGAGTCAGGCAGCTGACATGCATGGTGTGGGGAGTGCAGTCAGTCACTACGTAAAGTCTTCGTGCAGTGACAGATGGTAACTAGATTAAGCCTGGTGATCATTTTGAATCACTCTGTTGTATAGCAGGAACTAACAAGTATTGTAGGTCAACTGTATTTCAAGAAACAAACTCATAAAAAAGAGATCAGATTTGTGGCTACCAGAGGCGAGGGGAGGGGCAACTGGATGAAGGTGGTCAAAAGGTGCAACTGCCAGTTACAGACGCACAGTCCTGGGGCCGTGACAGCAGGGTGCTCAGTCTGTAACTTCCCCAACGCTGCTGTGTGAGACGCCACAAGAAAGCTGCCCAGAGAGGGACCCCAGGAGCTCTCAGCACAAGGAGAAAACGCATCTTTCTTTTCCTGAAATGTTTTATCTATTCAAGATAATGGATGCTCAGTATATTTACAGTGGGCACTACTTCATGATGTATGTAGATGAAATCACTAGACTGTTCATCTTAAACTTACAAAGTGCTATATGCCAATTACATCTCATCAAAACTGAGAGAAAAAAAGATAAAATTAATTATTCTAAAACAAAGTGGTAATAAATGAGTGCTTATAAGAAAAAAAGCTAAAAAAAAGAAAAAAGCTAACAAAAAGAAAAATGAACAAAGAAATTAACAAGAAGAATAAAACATAGTTTAGGAATATCTAATTCCCATGTAATGTTGGACTGGATGAAGCACAAGCTGGAATCAAGATTGCCAGGAGAAACATCAATAACTTCAGATATGCAGATGACACCACCCCATGGCAGAAAGTGAAGAAGAACTAAAGAGCCTCTTGATGAAAGTCAAAGGAGACAGTGAAAAAGTTGGCTTAAAACTCAACATTCAGAAAACTAAGATCATGGCATCTGGTCCCATCACTTCATGGCAAACAGATGGGGAAACAATGGAAACAGTAACAGACTTTATTTTGGGGGGCTCCAAAATCACTGCAGATGGTGACTGCAGCCATGAAATTAAAAGACGCTTGCTCCCTGGAAGAGAAGTTATGACCAACCTAGACAGCATGTTAAAAAGCAGAGAAATTACTTTGCCGACAAAAGTCCATCTAGTCAAAGCTATGGTTTTTCCACTAGTCATGTGTGGATGTGAGCGTTGGACTATAAAGAAAGCTGATAGTTTTGAACTGTGGTATTGGAGAAGACTCTTGAGAGTCTCTTGGACATCAAGGAGATCCAACAAGTCCATCCTAAAGGAAATCAGTCCTGAGTATTCATTGGAAGGACTGAGCCAAAACTCCAATAGTTTGGCCACCTGATGTGAAGAACTGACTGATTGGAAAAGACCCTGATGCTAGAAAAGATTGAAGGTGGGAGAAGGGGATGACAGAGGATGAGATGGTTGGATAGCATCACCGACTCAATGGACATGAGTTTGGGTAAATTCTAGGAGTTGGTAATGGACAGGGAAGCCTGGTGTGCTGCAGTCCATGGGGTTACAAAGAGTCGCACATGACTGACCAATTGAACTGAACTCCCAGGTAGCAAATCAATTTGTTAATTTCAACCAATACTAGGTATCAAAAATTTTCACTTACTACAAAAGGTGGAGTTCTCTTTACTTTTTTAATTGAGGCATAGTTAATTTACAATGCTGTGTTAGCTTCTAGTATAAGCAAAGTGATTCAGTTATATTATACACACACACACACTTCTTTTCCAGATTCTTTCTCATTATAGTTCCCTGTGCTGTACAGTACGTTCTTGTTGTTTATCTAATTTATATACAGTAATGCGTATATCTTAACCCCAGCATCCTAACACTTACCCCACCCCATTACCCTCTGGCAACTGTTTTCTATGTCTATTTAATTTTTTTTAACAGTTCTCTTTAAATAGTATTACATTATTTTCCTTAAGTTTCAAAATAACTAGTAATTCAGTATAGAATTCAGTATAGAATAACTATAGTAATTCTTAACTTCAGAATAACTATAGTGACAACCCAGAGAGATGCTAAGTGAGGACGAGCCCCAGGCTGGATGTGAGCACGCCAGTGATGCTGTTGGCCATATGCACGCACGCATAACAGGCTCCACTCGCAGGAAGCTTTCCTGCCCAGTTCGGCGCCCCACCTCACCACACGCCCCTCACCTGGGGGGCCTTTCACGGGCGTCTTGGGGGACTCGAGGTGGTCCCTGTGGATGGACTTGGGCCGCTGCTTCTTCTGCCGGGCCGCCTGAGGCCGGGGCTTGAGGACGGTGTCCATGTCCTCCATGAGCTTGAGCTGCTTGCGCCGCAGGTACTCCTGCCGGATGAACTCGCGGCGCGCCCGCTCGTCCTCCTTCTTCTGCCGCTCCTCCTCCGTCCTGCGCCTGGAGACCAAGCGGGTGCGCTGCTTACTGCGCACAGCACGGGGGCGGGGAACGTGCGTGAGGGGGAGAGTATGCGTGAGGGGGGGTGAGCGTGCGTAGGGGATGAGGGGCGCGGAACGTGCGCGAGGGGGAGAGTATGCGTGGGNCAGAGTGTGGTTTTGTTCCTCAGAAACAAATGTTTTTAAATTGTACATCTGGTTGCAGCAGGGCTAGCCAACACTCAAGTCTCCTGACTTCTTTCTTTTGTATTTTCTTAGTGTTACTCTTCTAGAAACCCCTCTAAATATATTTTCAAAGCAGTCTTAATAAAATACACTTTCTACTTGGTTACCACAGCCATTTTGCAGGTACTTAAATCACAAATATTTGACCTCTGTCAGGTATTTCAGCTAGTGATAATGAGACTGTTAGTTATGTTATCTGGTAAATCAAGAATAAATAGTATCAAAATAGTAACTACCATGTATTTTGGGGTAACACTTATCTTCCCTATTTCTACTATAATGCATAGATACATAATTTTTCTCATTTTATACAAGTGGTAGTATGACAAACCTATTAAAAAAGCAGATTATAGTTTTATTTAATATAATAAAGATAATTCTATATTAATGAATAAAGATTTTTTTCCTCCCTTTATAGAAAAATATATATGTACATACTTGTATACATACAATTTTTAGTTAGTTTTATTTTGTTGAACAGATGCATGCAAATTTGTTCAGCAATCATAAGAGGTTAAATTTTGACTCTAGCACCAGATCGTGAGGTTCAAATCCTGGTTTTACCACCTGTCAACTTTATAACCTTGAGGAATTTATGTAATTACTCAGTGCTTCAGTTTTCTCATCTTCAAAATAAGTGTACCAATGATTACAATATGCCTATCTCATATGGCTATATGAATATTGAGAATTAAATTAGTTAATATATGTAAAGCCACATTGCAGAGTATTTGCCATCTCCATTATTTTCATTATTACTATGTCTATTAATGATCAATATTGATGAACATGAGCCCGTTTTCAATATTTTTCTAGTACAAACATTGTTGCAATGAATAATCATATGCTTAGCTATATCTTACATGTGCAAGTATCACTGTTGGATTAATTTCCAGAGGTAAAATTGCATATCGAGTTGTGTGTGCATTTGTGCTTTTGCTGTTACAAGTTGACCCCATAGACTGTATACATACACCAGCAATACATGGTAAGCTCTTCACTAATAGAATGTGTTATTAAACATCCGGATATTCAATGTGAATATGTGAAAAATGCTATTTTAGAAAAAGTTTTGCTTTATTTTCTTCTCATTATTAATGAAGGTAATATATGTTCATCTTTAAGAAAAATAATCTTTTCTTTCCTACACAAGTCTTTAGACTCCAATTAACAAACTTATTTTAAACTTGCTTAATTTCCAGAATAATTATTAGAGAAAATGAGACTCTGTTTGAATAAATTCAATATGCCTGATATAGAATACTGAGAATAGGAATTTACATAGTTTCTAATGTGAGTTCTTTATAGAAACCCTTCAAGGTAGGTAGTTTCATTCTCTTTGAGACATAACACTATGTATACTACAGAAATAATCTGTCCAAAGTGACATAGTAATTGTATGGACTAAGATTGTAGAGTGGATCAGTTTTATTCTGGACCAAAAGATCTTTGTATTATACACACCATGCTCACTGAGTGTGTGTGTGTGTGTGTGTGTGTGTGTGTGTGTGTGTGTGTGTGTGTGTGAGAGAAAAACCCAGGGAAATGATTTTAATGTTTCAAGCCTGGGATAAAAACATGCAACCAGTACTTAAATAAACTTCTAAGAAGCACCCCAAACCAGCACTGATTTAGCTGTGTCACATTCCGAAGGTTCCTCCAAACAGCGGTTAACAAGTCAGCAGGATGCCCCTCCCGCCACGGCGGCCCCACCTGGTCTCCTCTTTCTTGTGCTCCATCTCGGCTTCCAGCTGCTGCTTCCGAAGTTGAGTCTCCTTCTCCCTTCTTAATCGTTTCTCCAACAAAGCTGCCCGTTTCATGGCCATATCATTTTCTGCTTTTTGATCATCCTAGGGAATGAATTCCATTGAGGAGGAGGAAACATTTAAGGTACCAATATCCTCATTTTCAATGTCTGAGGCCACATGCAGTGGTTACTCTTAGAACTGAGAATACAAATTACCCACTGAAAAATCTTATTCCAACCCCACCACAGATGGACATGTTCCAAAATGATGAAGGAAGAAATGAATTAAAGAGGCAATACTTTTATCAAATAACAAAGCACACAAACTTCTTTGATTACATGTTTTCAAAACTTAGGAAGTCAGCAAAGAACAACATAAAACTGAAGAAAAAAAAAAAAGTTTTCTGGGCCCTGATAATTTATAGAGTGGAGAGTTTCCCCACACATTTTAAAATTGCATTTAACTTGTGTTTAGAATACATACTTAATGTAGAAAAGTCAAGAAAAAGCACCAAAAAAATAGCTACCCAAAGTTGTATCACATAAATGAAATTCCTGCTGCACGATTTTTTTAGGTGGAGGTTCTGACAGTTTGCTCGCTGGGTTCTGCACTGCACTGCGGGCTCTCCCACGGAAGAGGAGACGGGTGTAATTATACTCCTGACCCCAGGGCTAGCTAGAAGGTGGGCCCTGGGCCTCCTGAGCCTGCCTGGCTCCTAAGCAAACTCTCAGGGCCCGAGTTCTCAGAAGTCAGGAGTAACCAGCTGGAGAAGTGGTTCTGATACATTCCCAGCACAGTGCTGGGCACACAAGACACTAAGATGTGAAAAAGACAGGGCTCCTTAGGTTAAGGGGCTGCTAGATCCCTATCTGCTGGGGGAGAGGGAGAGGCACAGAAACTCAGCGACAGATGCGCTCAGATGTAGAGAGTCAGAAGACAGCCTGTGAACAGCCAGGCCAAACACACACACGTCCGCGTCTGACATGCTGCACAGGCTGCAGCCTGCCAGCCTTTCCTTCACTCTGCGGATGAGAAGATGGAGTGTGTGCAGGAGTTCATGGTCTAAGAGAAACCGTGACAGAAGCAAGTCACAAGGTGGTTGGAGAGCCCGGATCAGCAGAGTCACCATGAGAACACTGAGGGTACAAGAGACCCAAGGGGAAGATACTCCGTCTACCCCCAGAACCACGCAAGGCTGCAGCACACAGAGAAGACCGAAGCAAACCTGACAGGACACCCCGACCGGAGCGACGGGGAGAGGGTGGCCCTGCGGATTAGCGGATTCATCTGCGAAAGGCCCCCATCACACGCCGAGGGGCTGCACTTTATCCAACAGGCATCTCTAAGAGACCCCGTGGACTTCTGCTCCCAAGAGGCAGTGTGAAGGGACCAGGCAGACGCGGGGAGCCCGTGACAAGCTGTCGCCATGGTCTGAGGGCCGAGTACCGGGTGGTGAAGACAGAAGTGAGGAAAGGAGGGTATGGGGGACTCTGCTCTCCTCTCCCTGCGGGAGCAGAGGTAGCAAGGTCTCTAAAACTAAACACATCAATTACTGTCTATAGCAGCAGTCCATTAAAAAACATTAACAGTAGTCTCACACAGTTAGGAAACAAAAAAGCACAACTCACATTTAAGTTTCTAAACATTAAAAAGGGCCGAGACGGCCATCTCTCTATGACCAACTTCAAAGTAAGTTACCCATTCCCAGTATTTAATGATCCAAAGTGATTGTAACCACTTCCAAATTCTTAGTTCTGACTCCAATAGGACTCCAGAAAATCTGCAAGTATAGATTGTTGCCACCGAAGGCTGTCTTTCTATCTATATTCTAAACTGCAGAGCATTAGAAAAGATATATCTTGGTCTCTTAACTTTTTAAAAAAAGAAACGAGTAGCACACACATACACATTTCTGATTATAAAAAACCACATTCTTCCCTATAAGAGTTTGGAAAACACAGAAAAATATAAAGATGAAAAAAAGGATGATGGGAGAAAAACTTTAACACTAGGCCTTCCTTGTTCTAGTACCTATGGTAAGTGTCCAGATGTTACAATCACAAGGTGATACTGTGCAGGACTTGGGTTAGCTGGCTGCAGTATCCTATAAACGTAGGTTACATCAAACACCAAACCTGAGATTGGGGTCATAAGCTACACTCTCATCAGTGCTTCCAGAGGTATTACAATGACAACTGCTCAAACTATATTTTTAATGTTTCATCTTGCAAGATTCCATTTGGTCAGTTTTTAAAATATTAGAAAAAAGTGTATGGGAAGATAGTCAATACCAAGAAAAGAAACTAAAACAGATTTGCATGCAATGCCAAGTTATAACCTTTTTTTACCAACTGGCAACACAGTATCTTTTGTAAGAGTGAATTACTTGGTTCTCAAAAGGCTTTGGTGAAAGTGAGAGAGAGACAAGCAGGGGGCAAAAACAGCAGGTCTCATCACGTTCCACAAGGTGATGAGAGACTGCTCCAGAAACCAGAGTGCCTGCCCGGAACCGCAGTCCACAAGGGACGGACCAGAACATAACCCAGGACGAGGGCAGACCCTAACAGAGGTCCTGCTGCTCAAGAGGCCTGTGCGTGCACCAGAAGCATGGAGAGAGGAGGCCTGCGGCCGTGCGGATAGTTTTACCTTAAAAAAGAATCCACAGCATACTTTCTGGTCCTCATCAACTTGTTCTTTATCACTTTCTCCATCATACTTTTCAACAGATACATCAGCCTTTTCAGGGGGTTTCAAATCTGAGAGGGAGACTTCAATCAGATTAACACTTTTAGGAGCAGCCGGCGGGACACTGGGTTTGGAAGGCAGCTCTGTGGGCTGACTTGGGGGGTCCTCGCTGGGTGCGGGGCGTGTAGCCACCGAGGCCAAGGCGGCCGGGCCCTCGGGGGCTGCGGAGGGCAGGGGCCGGGCCTCCCCGTGCTCCGGAGGCCCCGCCGACCCCTCCTCCTCCTCCTTCGCCCCGTCCTTGCGCCCGGACTCCTGGGCCCGAGGCTCTCCATCGTCACCCAAACACACGAAGGACCGCGTCTGAATGGGGACCTGACTCGGGGAGAACCTCCGGAGCCGCGGGAGGCTGTCCACAGACCGCGGGGGCGTTAGCGTGCGGTGCAGGGGTGTGATCTTGAGCTCGCTGGGCCTGGGAGTCCTTTGATTTTTGACAGAGAAGGACGCACTCTTCCTGGGCACGGCCTGCGGGGATGGGTGGGCTGGGCGAGGTGCATCGCGTGCCGGCCGGTGTGGGGAGGGCGGTGGTGGGGAGATGACCCAGGCCTGCTGCTCACGCATGTGCATTAGGGCCTCCTGCTGCAGCGCCAGGCGCCGCATCTCCCGCTGCAGCGCATGCAGGGAAGCGTTGAGCCTTTCGATGGAGCGCGTGTGCTCCAGCAGCTCGCCGTCCTGCGGCGGCTCCTCTGCGGGCCCGGCCGGGCTCCACCGCCCCTCGGGGTCTCCGGGTGCACTCGGGCCCGATGGCCACCTGCCCGCGGGGCTCTCCATGCCCTCCTTGGGGTCCGCTGGGGACTTGCTCCTCGGCCCATTTGCCTTCTGCGGCTCCTTCTCCCGTGGCCGCTCCGTGTACACCTTCTCGTCCTCTGCGCCCGCCGCCTCCTCCCGCAGCGGGGAGACCCCCTCGCCTTTCTTCTTCACCACGGTGAGGAAGGCCGTCCTCCCCATCTTCTGCCTCTGCTTGGTGAACGCAGCCTCCATCTTCTTCTTCTGGGCCTCGATGGCCCGCCGCTTCTCCTCCAGCTTCATCCTCAGGTGCACCACCTCGGAGGCCAGCAGCTGCGTGGTGTCCCGGCCGTGCGGGAGGCCTGCGTCCTCAGGGGCTGGGGCCCAGGCCACCACGTGGGGAATGTTGAGCTCAGAGCCCTCAGGCGTGGTCTTCTGAGAGCTGCTGCCGCTGCTCTTTCCATCCGTGTGGTTCAGCTTCCGGAACTTCTGCTCAGCAAAGCTGGTCATCTTCACCCCGGAGCTGGAGGAGGCGCTGCTCCCAGGCTGGGACTTGGTGCTGATTGTGCTGGGACAGGGGCTCAAGGCCTCTCTGGCGCTGCCGGCACGCACGTCGCAGTCCTGCAGGAATTTGGACGCGTCATCCATGTCGGAGTCCAAGCTCACGGTGTAGTCTCTTAGGGACGAGTCCTCGTCCATGGTTTCTGGAATGTCTTCCGAGGGCACGTGAATACCCGTGTCCACCTCCGTGGTGTCTGTGACAGGACTCAAGGCCCCTCGCGTGTCCCCTACGTTCTCAGGACTGGACTGGCTGCGCGGGACGCCAGCGTTCAGGAAGCTCAGCTCCTGGCTATGGAGGAAGAAGCCGTTGGCAAGCTGGTCCGGCCTCGGGGTGTGGGCGGGCTTCTCGGTGTCGTGAATTATCTGCAAGGCTTCCTCGATGCTCGGGGTCCCCACCTGGTTGCCGAGCTCGTCGAGAAGCACCCTGTTGTGCAGTGCTCCGCTGGGGAACCTGCAGTACGGGTTCTCACTGGAGTTCAGCTCGCCTGCGCTCCGGGGCACGTAGGTGGTCAGGTCACCGTGAGAGCCCCCCGTGAGCTCCTCTGCGATGCCCCCCGTGTCCTCCTCTCCATTCACCGGCTTGAAGGACAGATTCTTCCGGATGTTCTTGGCTACGCGGTTGTTGTTCAGGGTGAGTCCTTCATTACTAATGGAACGAGTGATTCCTCGGTTGGAGGTGGATCTCTGCACAGTGTTTTCTTTATCAAAAGAAATATCAAATGAAACTCCATGCACTGACGATCTACAAAAAAAAAAAGAGAGAGAAGACCCTTAAATAATCCCAGAAAAGACAGGATCTGGTATCACTGAGAAGTGTGACTTCCTCTCCCCTCATTTCTCACAATCACATCCTCCTGGGGGGGGTGGGGTGGGGTGCGGGTAAGGCTGTCAGGACACCTGTCACCTATGGTCACTGCAGCATCTGGCTAGCAACAGGGGTGGTGGGGTGGGGAACGAGTGCTTCTCGCTAAGGTGAGGACACTGAGAGTAAGTCTCCAGTTTACCTTTTCTCCTTGGGCCATGTCCCTATGAAGCCGTCGACATAGGACATAGATGAAGACCTTCTTATTCCTCCTTCAAATGCATGAGAAGAAAAGTCACCGGCATTGTGTAAAACAATTTTAACTTACACCATTTTAACAGATTTCACAGAAGGTAAGGAGATACACATGGAGAAATGAAGGTCATCTTATTAAGAAAAGCAAGCACAGAGAAACAGAAAGAGTCTTCGATGTGTACATGCAACATTTTTTATTTGCACTTATTCTCAGTCACTTTCCTGTTAACCACTCACGCGGCACTCTCCTGGCTTTCTGACATGTTACCTGAGGCTGAAGGATGAGGCTGGGGCTGTGAGTGCCTGGAAGGCAAATGGAGACGAGAATGTGTAAATGCAGCTCCTTCCCCACTGCAACATAAAAGACACGCAAAAGGTCACAGTGCATCTCGCTCTTTCACACAAATTTAACATACAGCAGCTGAAGTCACAAACAACACTGCCACCTCTGATTCTCCATCCTAAGTGAAAAAAAAAATTAAGGAAACACACTGTTGAAACCAAAGAATGGCTGTGATTATATGAACCTTTATGTATTTTACGTTTTTTAAAAGCCCAGGAACTTGAAATACTACTTTCAAGTACAATTCAATGTCCTTGTGAGATAAGATATACCACATTATTTTCACTTTACAAGTAGAAAAACTGAGAAAGAAGCTAAAATAATAATCATCAGCTTGAAGTACTTTGGTCTAATCTAAATTTCTAAAAGTATGAGTATGATCACTTCTCGTAGAAGAGTCTGACACACCTGCTTGTTCTCGGCCCTGTGTGTAACTCTAACACATTTACATTTCTCCTTACTTCAGTCAGTTCAGTTCAGTCAGTTCAGTTCAGTCATTCAGTCATGTCCGACTCTTTGCAACCCCATGAACCGTAGCACGCCAGGCCTCCCTGTCCATCAGCAATTCCCAGAGTCCACCCAAACCCATGTCCACTGAGTCGGTGATGCCATCCGACCATCTCATCCTCTGTCGTCCCCTTCTTCTCCTGCCCTCAATCTTTCCCAGCATCAGGGTCTTTTCAAGTAGGTCAGGTCTTCGTATCAGGTGGCCAAAGTATTGGAGTTTCAGCTTCAACATCAGTCCTTACAGTGAACACCAGGACTGATCTCCTCTAGCATGGACTGGTTGGATCTCCTTGCAGTCCAAGGGACTCTCAAGAGTCTTCCCAATGCCACCTTCCACCCTATTCCAGTCAATGGAGGGGATCAGACAGCCTATTTCTCAGTTTATGATGACATTTGGCCAAACTTTAATCTTTTTCTCCCTACGTTTTCAGTCTGCCATGGCTTACCTTCATAGGTGAAACTCAGCATGCCCCCCAGATGGGCTGCGAACAAGCTGGGGGCAGGGCGCAGTGACCTGGCTCTGTGACCACAGTGCCTTTCAGCTAATGCAAATCGAGAAGACGAACAGGCACCAGAGGATTCAGAGGCGAACCTCAGCGTGCACCCTGCTGCTCAGTGAGCGCCTACTGCAGAGCTTTCCAGAAGCAACACCTGCAGCAGGTGCATGCCTCTGCTGTCTCGTCTGCTCCCTCGCACTCCCCCCCACCCACATCACGTGTCCCCTCACCCGTGTCCTCAGTCGCGGGAAACCCAAGGGACATGACCACGCTGCTCCCCATCACGGGTGTCTCGTCCCCTCCGGTGGCCTTCCCAAGCCTCACTCTTCTCTCCTTCCCCAAGCCTCACTTCGCATCTGCACAGAGGGTTCTGAGGTGGGGCAGCTCCTGGACAGGCCAGTGGCCGTGTGTGCAGCAGCTGCTACCAAGGTCTTGCTCTGCCATCTTCTCTGACTTTTCCCTTTGTGAGATCACTCTTCAGGCACAATAACACTTGTACACGTGGCTGCATCATTCTCAGGAAGAAGAGCATTCCTTGAACCCTTCCTCAAAAGTTCTACAGTGGGACGACTCACATGGCCCACACGGAGATTCACAGACATGAGAGGACTACACAGTGACCCACTGAGGAAAAGAAGTCAGAGCCATCTGGCTACAGGAAGTTCTGCTGGAAAAGGAGAGAGGCGCCACTCAGACACCTGAGGGACAGAGAGGCGAGTCCTCCCGAGGGTAGGACACTGTCGGAAATGTGGAGGACTGTGTGTCAAGTTTCTAGAAATAGTACCTGTGGAATAACCTAGTCTTTAAGTGGAAAGTTTAGGAGGTTTTAAAGATTTAACAGGACAGGAGACATGACCTAGAATATTGAGTGTTTTCTAAATTTCAAGGCAGGGAATGTCACTACATAACCGACCCACGAAAGCACTGAGGAAGTACCATGCAGAAAGAAGTATCCCATGGGACGCAACAGAGAAGTTCCTGGACCAGTCGCAGTCTAGCTTCACCTCTTCGTGGTAAACCTCAGTGAGGGATACAAAATAGGGAACTTAAGGGAAGTAACAAAATCCATGGGAGTAAATACGAGGGCAAAGGGAAGAAAGAGCTTTCCTGATTCACAGGAAATATTTACAGGGCTCAGAAGTTCATGGCAATGAGAAGCCCTATGAGGGCAGTAAGAGGGTCGTGAGGGTTCTGTCCACACTGGTCAGGACACAATAGAGAGAAACTTCTCAGGTGTGAGGAGGGGTGACAGCTTTGGTACATGTTCATATTTTCAGGTTAAACCAAGAATTCATGCAGAAACTATTTTCAATTTATTACTTATAATTTTAAAAATGTATTTGAAATAGATCGGCTTGAATTTCTAAAAAAAAAAAAAAATCACAAAGTGCTTCAGTTTTCAATTAAAAAAAAATCATATATTAATAAATTAAGCAGACCAAAGTCAATACACATTTTAGGTTCTAAAAAAATATGCATTAAAGGTGCTTACAGGATCTGCTAAAAAACATTTTGAAACAAATTAATGTCTGTATCACATACTTGGGTCAGAAGTCAGGATTGTCCTGATATTAAATGTTTACCTGGCTTTGAATTCAATTCCTGATATTAAGAACTAAAGCGTTTAACATTCAATGGTACGATAAATATTCCATTGTGACCTCTCAATAGCTGCAGTAACTAGCAAACCAAACAGGGAAAACTGTCTCAAAGATTTAAAAATCTTCCCCTGAAGCCTAAGAGTGACCCATCATTTGAGCCTCATATGATCTCAATTATAAACAAGGTGTGCAGCAAGAGTTTAGTTTTAGGCTGATTATTTGGACCTTAGGATAATATCCTCCCACTTTTCAGTGTGACTCATAAACGCCTATTTATGAAACATTCATGTCGGGAGCCATTATGGGAGGTCCCGCCCGTGACGAGGTCATGAAGAAAATACCGGGCAGGCAAGGCCGTCCGGGACCCCATCCATGATGAGGTCACGAGGAAAATACCTGACAGGCAAGGCCGTCTAGGATAAGGGACCCTCCAGGTTGGCCTCGGCCTCTACCCCACCCTGTATCCTCCCCGATTTTTCTGCTGTTGTTCTTGTTCGCCCTGCTGCGGATTCTTGTGCTGCCTGCCGAGAGCTCTCCTGCTCCTCTTTCACTGAATGAGAACCAACTTAAAACCCTAATTAATAAATCTCCTGGACGCTGGTACCCTATGAAGGGGCCAGGGATGAAGGAAATGCTTCAGTTCAAACCCTTTAGCTGGCATTCTGGCTTGTTTGATAATGTGTGCTCTCATTGCACAAAATGCTCATGATTGTTCTAAACATCCTAAACATAGTACGCTAACAAAAGAAACTATTAAGCATAGGCCCCTTCGCGGGGTGAGAAAAGCTCCACAAATATTATAGCCACAAATGTGCCTAATAGAAAATAGTTTAGATAGAGATTAGCTGGCGACTTTTTGCAGGTAATTAACTTTTAGACTAAGAGCCTGTTTTGTGCCATATCTGCTGTTTTTGAAATCCTTTGCATTTCTGTTCTGTAAAAAATGTAATCCTATCTAGTTCCCTTGGAGATGACACCTAATAGAAAGAAAATAGATTAACCACAAGTAAGACAGGGTCGGCTACTGAAGTTGCTTAAAGTTGCACCAGGTGCAAGCCATAAATTGTCAACAAGCCTAAAAGCCAAAAGATATTATACATAGAGATTAACCATAAAAAAGGCCCTAATAGGCACAGAGCCCTTTGGGGGGTGAGGAAGCCCTATTAGAGAATACAAAAAATATTGTTTTAAAAGTGGTTAACCATAAAAAAGGCCCTAATAGGCACAGAGCCCTTTGGGGGGTGAGGAAGCCCTATTAGAGAATACAAAAAATATTGTTTTAAAAGTTGTTATTAGATCAACATTTGATTGATGTTAATGTGCTGAGGTTGTGCAGTGGAAACTATTGTTAATATAGTTAAAGATATAGTAAAATAAGAGTTTAGCCCTAGTGTAATAACAATAAGATAATTGTTAATTTTAACCAGGAGTGCTAAACAGGGGCTGCGTCACCAGAGCCACAGAGTCTTTGTGTGTTAAACTTTTTAGATAAATTTAGCTGAGAATTTCTGCAAAAAGACTGTCTTTTATGTTAACAGGATTGTATTTCTATTATGTTACAACTTGCTGTACCATGAGATTGCCAATTTTCTGTTTTCTGCTAACCTCAAGGCCAGAAGATAATGTGCAAAAATCTATGGGAAAAGACTCTCATAAACAAAAATATACAGAGCACACCTGGCTTCGTGAAGGACAAGCTGATATAATGTTAAACTAAGTCTGTATGCTTATCTGCCCCTTAAAAATGTACCAACTTAGGGTATAAAGGCTATGGTGAAAAATAAAGCGACTGCCAGACTCTGCTGCATATTCCCGGTCTGGTCTCTTTCTTTCTTTCTCTCTCTCTCCCTAGCAGACTTGGCCCTATCAAGGCCGGTCCTACGTGTCTCTCTCTCGCCGATGCCGTTCATCCTGAGGGTTCCCCTGGATCCTGTCGGGGCTGGACCCTGGCACATTCAGTTCATGTAAATCTCAATGACAGTGACATAAAAATAGGCTTTAACAGGGTAAGTTAATTGTAACTTATTCAGCTCAAAGTTCCAACTGAAAATGTAAAAATGCTCATGTAATGTAGCAATAATCTTGATCTCCTAAGTGACTGGGATGGCCATCCCAACTCACCCTGGTGTGAGGTCAGAGCTTTCCAGGGCATCTCGCTGGGCAGCATTCAAGACAGGACCTGACGGCAGATCCTCCACAGGCTCAGCTACAGGAAAGACAAAAACCTCAGAATTAATGTTAGCACATTTCCAACATTGCTTCAAGGATTCCGAACTGCAAGTAAATGTTTACTATCAGTTTTCCTTATTACTTATAGAGAATCATAGTATATTTAGTTTTCTCCTTAAATAATTTTTCAAAAGGACAAATCTTCTTTAAACACTTCTTGGAAGTATTCTGGCCTATAAAATTCACTTGATTAAGGCTAAACAGGAGTAAAAAAAGGCTTAACATAAATACAGATAATTAAAAATAAACACGTATTCAATTTTGCAAAAGCTTTCACAGAACTTGTTACACATGGTCACTTTTACATCCACGAAATAGTTGGTGTTTCGGTAATCAGTTAAAGACACAGAATCTTGTTGGTTAATAACTAAAACACAGCTATAGTTTACGTTTTTGCAAATAACTCTCATTTAGCTTTTTGCTTTTGAGACCTAATATAACAACTGTTGAATATTTTGAATAGTGGGCTTCACAGATGAGATCACAGGAAGCAATGTGCATGAAAACTGTGCTAACAGTAAGAAGTGGTAGGCACACTGGTTTTGATCACCACTGAAGACCCTGGCTTTCCCCAGTGGCCTTCACAAGGGGCTGGGCGTGTGCACAGGCCTGCCGCGTTACGTGAGGCCTGTGCCCTGGGCAGGTTCACAGCCGTCACTGCATGTCCCACAGAATGCGGCCCGGGCACAGAGGGCACGCTGAAGGATGCCGTTCCTACTCACTGAAATGGTAGAGAGCACGCCCCCAACGCCCCCCAGTACAGACTTCTTCCTTCTCTTTCTCTTTTTGTTCCTTTGATTTTTTTGGGGGGGGAGCGGGTGGGGATGGGGAGAAATAGGGGAAAATACAAAAACTGTGGCGGCAAGGAAAGCAGGCAGGCAGCGGGGATGGGCAGAGCAATCACACTGTGCGTGGGGCGGAGCGCTGGCAGCAGACGGAGCCCCGCCACGCTGAGGAAGTCCTCCTGGGGGTCAGGCCTGAAGGTGGACTTGTTCTTTCCCCACAGAAAGAAACCTCTGGTTTCATCATGGAAGCCAGTGGAAAATTTGGTTTGCTTTACAGGAAGTGTAAGAAGTATTTTTTTTCCTGTTATTTCCAGAGATCTTTATGGTAACTTACCCCTTTATTTCTTGAGCAATCAATAGACTGTGATGCTGTAACAATCACAGAACTTACTAGGTTTGAAAATAGATATATATACACCCAAGTCTTTTCATGGCTTAATGGCAAATTCAGATTACAGATGAGAACCAAGCCATAATTTGAATAGCTCTGGCCAACAACGTTACAAACTCAGACTCTAACAGGGAACAAAAGCGAAGGATGGGAGCAAAGGGGAGAAAGGGAAAACTGTTAGAGAGAGAAGTCCCACAACACAAGCCTTCGAATTCAGGGCTACTCTCGCCACCTCCTTTTCCTCCCCTAAGGCATTCTCACGCACAGAGAATTTAATGGCTTTAAATATTAAAACATTCAGAATTTATCCAGGCTAACAGCTAGAACATGCAACAGTCACAGGCTCTCCTATAAAGAACATCAGGCAAGGTTATTTTAACTCTCCACTCTGTCTGCTCACGGAACACTGTTCACCTCCATGCGGACAAGCGACGCGGGGCTGGACGAAGGAGGGCTTCACGACCTCGAACCACCAGAAAAGCTCGGCCATGAACACCAGGTAGTTACTCTGAAAAGAGGTAAGAAAGTCAGGAGAAAAGTCAGGTAAAGCTTGACCACCAAGCGATAATAAGGAGAATTTTATTCTGTGTTACCTATTGAAATACAGCTTTAACTATCAGTCACTCATCAAAATTTGTCATTAAAAAAAAAAAGAAAGAGAAAGCAGTGAGAACGCTTATAATCCCTATGGGCTGTGCTGTGCCTTACCTCCTCAGCAGCTTTAATTCCCAACTATATTTCTGTCTCCAATACATTCATTCTCCCCCTGGGCTGAACCTGTCCTACTTGGCTTTTAAAAAGGTCAGGGACTCCCCTGGTGGTCCAGTGGTTATGACTCTGTGCTTCCAATGCAGGGAATTGGCTTTGATCCCTGGTTGGGGAACTAAAATCCCGCATGCCATGCAGTATGGCCAGAAAACTAAAAAAATTCCACTCCCACACAGCACGCAGGCACGAAACCGCATCTGCTCAGGTCGCCGACTATGTACTGAATCAAACAGATTCTGTAGTCTCCCTTATACCTGACCCCTCAGTGGCACCCACACTCTTGACCTGTCTCCTCTGTGAAGACTGCCACGCCCCTATCAGGCGACTCCGGGACGCGTGACTGCTCTGAGACATGCAGGGGCCTTCGAGCATCTCCTCCTGTGTTTCTCTGCCTGCGCCAGTCATCCTCCCCACCTGATCCAGTTCCAGCCTTATCTCCCTGAACGACAACCGCCATCACCGGACACAAACCAGAAACTTGGGATTTGCCCCATGTCCTCTTCTTTCTCCCTTCCCACACCAAGTCATCCTCAGGGCTGCAGAGTCTGCACCCTGAACAGTGTGTCCACCCACTTCTCTCCGTCTTCATCATAATTACTTTGATTCAAATGTTTTCACCGCTTGGTTGCAATACAATCCCCCTTTCTTTGACTTATTAAGTCAAACTTCTCAAAATACAGCACCGTTTCCCCCACTTTCCCCACCCTTGGGGAAAGACTGACTACAGGTTACAAGTAGGTACTTGATCAGGGCCCTCTTCAATTTCCCCAGCTTCATCTACTACCATGTTCTCCAGGCTTCCTCATCTTACCCAGGCCAGCTCTATCGTAAAAGGACAACGCCACGCTCAGTACTCTGTCTTCAGTGTTCAAGGCAGTGCCTGGCACATAACAAATGCCCAATAAATATTTACTGAATGAACATATAAATGAATAAGTAAACACATAATAAAAAAGGCCAGTCACAGGCAAACACTAATAGGGATTATCTCTGGGCAGTAACATGGCTGTGATTTACATTTATTCTTTATACTTAACTCATAGTACACTTTCTAAAGCCAAAGTATAAAATCATATTTTAAGTACTAGTACTAGATTCTACTCTGCTAGTACAATTAACTGAAAGCTGTGTATATGTTTTGAAAAAACACTTGTTAAGTGCTCCATAACTGTCTGTTATAGGAAATTAATCAATATTTAAGGACCTTGGTGCTCAACAAAACTACTCATCAGGAAAATGCAAATCAAAACCACAATGAGATAGCACCTCACACCTGTCAGAATTGCCATCCTCAAAAAAATAAGCGATATCAAGTGCTGATGAGGGTGTGGAGAAAAGGGAAGCCTTGAGCATTACCAGTGGGGATGTAAAATGGTGTAAGCACTATGGAAAACAGTATGGAGCAGTATGGAGGTTCCTGAAAAATTAAAAACAGAGCTACCACAGAATCCAGCAGGCCTATCTGGGTACAAACCCAAAGGAAATGAAAACAGGACCCTGAATAGAGATCTGTACATTCATGCCCACTGCAGCTAAGACATGGAAGCAAGCCGAGTGTCCACAGCGGGTGGGTGGATAAAGATGTGGTATATATATACAATGGAATACTACTTAGCCGTGAGGAAAGAAGGGAATCCTGCCATTTGCAAAAACACAGATGGATCCTGAGGGCACTGCAGTGAGTGAAATAAGAAAATGAATAGGTCCTGGGGGTCGAATGACTATGGTTAATGACACTGCATTACAGATTTGAAAGTTGCTGAAAGTAGACCTTAAATGCTCACAACAGAGAAGTGGTAATTATGCGACGTGACGAGGGAGTCAGCTGCCTATGGCAGCAATCACTCTGTAGTGTGCGTGCATCAAATCAACACACTGAACACCTCAGACTTCTACACTCATGTCTTCCCTGGGGGCTCAGTGGTGACGAATCCGCCTGCCAATGCAGGGGACACGTATTTGATCCCTGGGTTGGAAAGATCCCCTGGAGAAGGAAATGGCCACCCACTCCAGTATTTTTGCCTAGGAAAGCCCACAGATGGGGGGCCTGGTGGGCTACTGTCCATGAGGTCGCAAGAGCCGGACATGACTGACCGACTAAACAACAACGTGCCAATTATACCTCAATAAAGCTGGAAAAATTTTATTTTAGGCACCCTGGTCAGATAACTGTCCTAATAACATAACTGTACTGGGTTTGGCCACAAGGTGTCAGCACAGTAAGAAATGATTTCCCCAGTAACTGAAGTTTATGAAGAGAATTCCTTTCTGAATCTGCGAAGATTAAACAGCAACAAATCTGTCACCATATTCTAGGAATGAAACCAAGTTAATTTCATTTAAAAGCTCTTCTTTTAGTTAAGAAAGTCATGCGGCTCTACATTAACAATCTTGGACAATATAAACAATATCAAAGAATACAAATACACAGAATAAAAAGTAAAAGTCCACAAATTCCTCTTGTCCACATCAGTCAAGAAGAAACCACCGCTAACAGTTTTGTGTTTCTCTCTCTACAGACCTTTTCCTGTGCATCTATATATATGTGCAGATGTACATACAGATAGAAAAAGCATTTTAAAAATAGATATAAATTACATCATGTTAAATATAATGTGTGCTCCCCAGTGCTTCTCTTCATAACTCGAGAGCTCTCTGCCTCCTTCCCTTAAACAGCTCAACTACATTACAGGACACTTCCATCACGTCCCTTCTAAGATGAAGTGTTCCCCACTGTGACCCACCAGGAACAACACCAACGCAGCCGTCTGTGCACTTTTGGTCTGGTTAGATGCCACCAAAGTGCCCTCTAAAAAGGGCACACCAGTGTATGCATCCAGCGTGGGGGGAAAAGAGGGCTCATTCCCCATGTCCCCACAAATACTTGTTGCTCAAGTCAACACATGATGGGATCCCCAGCACCATGGGCCAAGCGACTTCTTGAGGACACAGAGTCTTAAAATACTCATTTGAAGACAAAACTGTGGTTCTAATAATTTAGCAGAGAACCAAAATAGATAAAGTGACAGTCTTCTCTGCAGGTAACTATTTTTAAAATGCCTCATTTAAGAAAATATCTTTATATCTGGATCATGGCCAGAGTAAGTTGATCTAAACATCAGGGTTACACTTTATTTATGGGAAGTCCAAGGTCTACGACTTAAGCAAATGTAATCTTACAATTCAACGTATTTAATGAGATGATCTTTTCCCCTGAGATTAGAGTAGTTGCATTTAAACTTTTTAATAGGCAAGAACCAGAAAAAGCATGAACAAGATAAATATGAAAATATCTCCCAACTTCCATTTTGGTAAAAACGGTGTAACTGTTCAAAGTCAATCAAGGTCTCTCTTCCGATGTGCTGGGCAGCGGGGAGGGAGTGCTGCTCTGGCCACTGGGCAGTGCATGGCTGGCTGTGTCTCCTGCCCTGTGGCAAAGGAGAAAGGGGCAAAGGTAAAGGGGCAGAGAGCACGGGCGGCAGCGTGACTGCGGGAGGCCCACTGCAGCCTTTAGGGAGCTGGGCACCACGAATATGGCCAGGCGTCAAGCCTGACACAAAGCTGCTCCTCTCAGACATTACACAGAAGAGACGAACTTCAGGCAAGGGCCCAGGAGGCAGGAGGGAATTCTGTAGCTGCCAGGAACAGCAAGACATCGCTCCCACCACGGAGCTCTGGAACCCGCAGCTCAGAAGCCATCACGCCTGAGACACGCGTCTGTCTTCACTACAAAGTAAGCTCTGAAAGGACATGGATCTCTGATCGTCTGCTGATTCACCCAAACCACCCGGAACAGTGCGAGGTGCTCAATAAACAGCTCTTGGAAGAAGGGCACTAAGCAATGGTGTGAAGCTAAGAGGCCCGGTGATATCGTCCTGAAGCAAGGGACACGTGTACAGCTGATAAAAGGAAGTACTTTTAATTTTATTTATCTACTAAAAATTTTATATATATGTTGGCTGCACTGTGCGGCACACAGGATCCTAGCTCCCTGACCAGGGGTCGAACCCACACCCCCTGCAATGGGAGTGCAGAGTCTGAACCACTGGGCCACCAGGATATTGCCAGGAGTTATTTCTTAAAAGGTTCATTTCTAGACAACCTTAGTATTTCCTTCCCCGTTTCTTTCCCAAGGTTGTGCCTCAAGCTCTGGGATGGGAGGACTCTTTCTTCCCAGAGCCCACAGCCCTGCTGAGGGCCCAGAAACACTTGCCGGCTCCTTCTCCACTTCGCTGACAACTGCAGGACCACAGATTAACGCTTTGTATCGACAAAGACACCTGTAGCTAACAGTGTCCATTAAAACAAAACAAAATCAGCAGAAAAACCTAAGGAAACTATTTTGACTGAAATTACAGTTAACTTTGTAAGCTTAACACGGCTAGACTGTTTCTGTGCCTGGCTGTGTGTTTTCTCCAACAACCTTAAATCAAAGGGGCCAAGGGAGTACCTTTATGGAAGAAGCTGCGTAGAGCATGTCTTCCAGGGTGAAATGGCAACACTGGTTCAAATACTCTTGGCAAAATTCTTGGATCAGCTGCAGGTTATAGAGGCTATCAGCCAAAGACATGGTTTCTTTCAAGCAAATGTCTTCAAATAAGAAAAGAACAAGGATTAATTTTGATAATACATAGTTTGTACTCATTTTATAATTAGTAACTTAATACCGGCACAAAACTACGTAGAATCGGATCACACACACACACACATCCCTATAAATGTAGCAGTCACCACACAGAAGGACTTAGAAACCAAACACTCCTTCACTCAACTAACTGCCCTCCTAGAATGACATATAAATGTTCTTCTTTTAAAAAAGACTTCATTACTTATTAGATATCACCATCTTAAATATCTGTCACATCTACGCACACTTGAGAAACATCTCAACGGAACACTCACCCTCTAACCTGACGACACCAGGACAGTAGAAATGAATGAGGGCAGCTAGCGCACAGCCATCCGAGCCGTCCTTCAGCAAATTTTCCACCAACGGAATGCAAGGCAGCTGCCTGAGCAAAGTCTGCTCCTTCCTGTAACGAGCCTACGACATAAAGAGAGACGGAGACAAGCGCTGATCACCGCGCAGGGCAGACACAGTACCGCAGGCCCCAGTGTCAGTAACAGAGCGCAAGTCAGGAGAGACGGCAGCTCTCAGCCACACCTTCTCTCCTGACCAGCACCGCTAGCCTGTCCTCGCCCACAGCACACGGCTCTGAAGCTAAGCGCTTAACCGAACGCCATGGGGCTCATTTATATGAATTCACTTAGCCTAAGAATTTAAATACAAAAGCATCACAGAATGGATTTTGGACATTTGAAACATCCAAATTATCAGTTCTGTGGCTCTGCAGACGATAAAATTTGCTTTAACATTAGACTTAACTTAGACCGCACACTCTTGTATAAAAAGATTAAGACTGGAGCTTAAAGACTGAGGAGTCGTCAGCGTCAAGGACAGCCAGAGGAGTGTGAAACTACTCCTAAAGGAGACCTTGCGATAAGAAACGTCACTCTGAGGAACTGGAATCAGACCACAAAGAAATCCTGGCTTCTCATCTGAATACTGAGACAATGCAAATAAAGTGTAACCACTCTGAAACTGAGAAAACCCTCCTGGATGAGGTTTCATTAACCCAAAACAGAGCAAGTATACGGTTTCCGCTCCCTCTCAGAAAAGAAGCAGCTCTTGTTTTTTAAAGACTCGCTGGTGCGCTGATACAAATTTGTAAGACAGCTCCCTAAAAATGAGACCTGCTCTATAACTGAGCGTTTACGAGAAGGAGCTTCGTCAGTCAAACTGAATACCTGGGGTCAAATCCTGCTGCTGTCACTTCTCAGCTCTGGGATCTCGGACAGGTTACCTGAATGTCATCTCTTGGTTCCTTATCTGTGAACTGGGGATAATCACAGTGCCTACTTCACAGGACATGGAGGACTAAGAAAGATGATGAACATCAAGTGCGATGCGTACACGGGCACACAGTCAGCGGTCACCAGAGGTCAGCTGTCTTTAGCTACTAGCTCTCCTCAAGCCAAGAAAAATCATGCTGAAGACTTAATGAAAATGCACACTGAACTATTTCATTAGCAAAATTTATAATTATAGTGGTTACTGATGTTTGAATACAGGTTTTTAAGAAATCAAAACTAGTTTTTCTATCTAAACTAATCATCTCTATTTTATAATTAAAGTATAATTATGAAATATAATATTCTGGTGAGAATAAAAATAGAAAAATAACTTACTGAAAGAGATTTACTATTTGGTGGTGAAGTCAGATTTCCTATTTACTATTTGGTGGTGAAGCACACACATTCAAGGGGAAATATTTATTCCTATATCACCCTCACTGGCTACTCAAGAACAAGATTCATGGAACATTTTCCCTTGTGAAGAATTTCAGAGGAGACTGTTCTTAGGAATCAATCAGTAGGGACTAGAATCTGTATTTAATGGTATAGCGCACCTATATTCAGAAAAAATCGCATCCATGCACCACAGAAATTCTTGAGTTGGTTTTTGTGCTTATGTGATCCTCGGTAAACATCCTCATTTTGCTGCGGGCGGACAGTTCAGGACTCAAGCATGAAAACGAAAACGAGGAGTGGGGGGAGTGGCACCCGGGGCCTCGCCCGCCTTCCGCTGCCCCTCTGGCTTCCCGATCCCCCAGCCCCACTTCCTTGGGCCGGTGAGAGACAGAACGCAGTCTCTGGAAACGCTCTCCTGGCTGGGCTCCGCGCCAGACTTCCCGGATCTCCAGGGCCCATGGTCTGGAGTGGACTGAGCCGAGCACCCAGGGTCACGGAACAAAGAACTGAGCTGTGTGCTGTGTCCTGCTGTGCTCTCCCGAGGAGCACAGGCACACAGCTTCCCAAGGCTGCAGCCACAGAGGCCTACAGTCTGGAACAGACAATCCACGGTTTCTAAGTGGCTGGCCGCAACATCTTCCTGAAGATTATGCCTAGAAGGCCTATCAGGGAAACCAACTTTTAATCTTGAAGTCGTGTGGTTCTCCCAGAACTTCTGGAATGTGCTTGGTGCTTTAGAAACATACTGCTCTTTCTACAAACCGAGACATCTCGCATTTAAGAGGGATGTATTTTCGATCTCTCAACATTGTGGTGGACTTCTAAGTTACATGGCTGTTTCTGAGGGTGAAAAATATTTAAGTGGTCAAACCCCCAGAGCTCACCCAGAAAGATCAACTCTTGAAGTCAAAAAAGAACTTAATCTGTTAATAGTTTAGATTCAGTAACAAGAGGGACACAGAATCTGTCGCTTTTTTTTATTACACATAAAGTATCTTCTAAAGGTCAGGCCAAAAGGAAATGATTCTTTCAAAAACATGACTTTATAATACAAATAATTTACATGTGTAATTCATACTTGATTTTACTGACATTATTAAAACCAGTACACATCTATACCCACACCTTCTTCTTACCTGGTTACTGCAAGTCTGCAAGTACTGACAGACCAGTTTACACTTTAAATTATCTTTAAAGCTGCTAATCCAAACTTTGGCTAGATTTTTTAGGTCTTTCTATTCTGCACTATGATCAAAGACCTTACAATCCAATCTCCACTTGTGACTAATGGAATTGCATGAAATGACTGTACCAGCATGACACAAACAATACAATGACACTCTACGATGACGTCTCTGGAGAGTGAGCTGAAGAAAGCTGGGCAAACTTACAGGAACCAGTTTCCAAAACCATTTGGAAGGAGACTTCAAAGGAGGCAGCAGGAGAAAAGGGAAAGTGAAAGGGAAAGTACATCAGCATTTTTTTAAATTAACAAATTATAGTAAAGCTTCTGTTAGTGGAGCTCCAAGTTTACAGTTCTCAAAACACTTTTTTTTTCCTCAAAACACTTTTAAACCGTTAATACTTGAAAATTTAGCTTAAAATATAGAGTTTCCTAGTGATAAAGACCACCACCTTCTCCCCCCAACTCCGCTCCCAACATGGATATGCGTTTTTACGATACCCTGGACCTGCTGCATACTTTGGCAGCAAAGAATTTTATTTCACAGCTCTGGAATCACACATCATATTAAAAAATAAAATATATAACACAAGAGGGAGTAGAAAGATTCCAAGGCTGGACTTGCAACCACTGAAATTCTTAGACATTAGGAAGCCAAGTCTTTGTCCCAAAAGGAAAAGAAGACTATTTCATAAGCGTATGGATAAGAGCAAACAGTAATGTAGAATTGCACATGATGATAATTTCCCTTAATGATATAAAGAATTTCTTTCAATTAATGGGAAAGAAAAACAGTTGGCAATTCCTATCAATATTTTTATAGAGTCTCTAAAGCAAGTAGCTACTAACACAAAGAGACTATAAATGTTATTATTTTTACTATCCAGGGGTGTCTCAAAGAATATAATTTTATGTCTTCAAGAAGATTAATATAATAAACTCACAATTTCAAATAATTGAATAATTTGTGATTGTTTATGTTTCCTAGCACCCGTCTTTTTTTTTTTTTTTGAAGCCCTAAATAAATATTTGTTAAAATGAACCAAACTAAATGGGGTCTGAGTTAAAATTTGTACTAAACTTTTATGCATAAAGTTTTTCTTACAGAAATTAACAGTAAAAATAAGACTAATTGGAAAAATAACATAAATAACATACATTTAAGAACTTAAAAAAATCTGAAAAAGTCATCTTAAGAATCAGAAAAATATCAGCTTCCCACAAAGAGATAACATTTCCAATAAAGTTTTCTTGCTGCATCAGAAGAGTAACCGTAACGGTCTGTCACACGTGTTTTAACCTCTCATTTAACCAAAGTCTCTGGCGGCTGCACCTGTAACAGCGAGAAAAGCACCAGACAGGGCAGGGGGCCCTGAGGACTGTCCGGGCCCCGATGACTGACAGCATGTCAAAACGGGGGTCTTCCTGTGTTTGATACTAGAGGAATCCATTATATAGAAATTACTAGGGACTATTCAAAACAGGTGATGAGCAAAGGAGTTAGTCTGTATTTCTTGTAAAATATTCAGTACATGAACTTTTTACTAATCCAGAAAACTCTGACACAGCTCCCAATGACTGGCGCTGGGAAATCTGAGCAACAAGTGAACACCACAGACTGGACTGTAGCCCCAGTACAGACACAGACACACACAGACACACACACACACAGAGTCCAGACTGCTACAAAAACTGACTGAAGGATAGAAGGAAGTGGACAGGACACAGTCTCCCTTAGAGGAAAGTTCCAAATGATGCAGGTGCTTGACCCTGCAGGGAGGGAGCTTAACTTCTCTCTCCTGCAGCATGGGCTGGACTGAGTGACCCACTTTCAAAGAAGACAGTGCTGATGGGGGAAACAGAAACTTTACAATGAAGGATGCGACTTTAATGAACCAAGTGATCACATGGACACCATCAGTGACAAGCTCCCTGATGCGAAGAGATGAGGTGTGAAACCACCTCTGTGATGTTCTTCTCTGAAAGCCTATACACCAAATCTCATCACAAGACACAGGAGACAAACCCCAATTCAGGGATGCTGGATAGAACACCTGGGCAGAACACAAACTGGTGGAATCTAAAAAAAGCCTGTGGTTTAGTCAATATTAATAATGCACCAACGTTACTTTCCTGTTGTTGACAAAAGGGCCATGATTATAATAATAAGATGTTAACACTGGGGGAAACTGGACAAAGTTGTACTATCTTTGGGATTGCTCTGTAAACTAAAATTATTCCCCAATACAGTTTATTTCAAAAGAGAAACTTGAAAGAAAATAAAGAAAATAACATCAGTAACCTGTTTCATCAGAACATTTGCCTAGGACACTATTTAAAATGCCTCCCTCTTAAAGCACCACCCAGTCCAACAATCAGAAATAGATGGTCAGATGATGGTCTAATAATCTACTGAAATGGCTTTGGAATTTTAATTTTGGTCCAACACTAATAATATACAGTACAAGTATCCCTCAACAGAGCGTGTATTTTACCCAGAAGATAGATATAGAAAGAAGCCTCATAAAATGAATCCTATTGAACATCTGAGCAGAGAATCTCTAAACAGGACAAGAGATCAGACAGTCCCCATGCAGCACCCCAGGCTCCATCCACAGGAGGGAAGTGACAGACCCCAGGGTGGGGCACCTGGGCTTCTGCGTTGAGAGCACCAGCTGAGGGGGCAAAGGGCACGGCGGCCTCTTACCAACGGCACAGCAAGGAGAAAGAGCAAACCACTAGACCTCTCTTCCCTAAAAGGAGAAAAGGGTAGGGAATCTGCTTTGCAAGAATGAAAATCAAGAATACAGTGATTCTATTTCTAGCCATACGGTTCGGAAGCTGACACGCCCACAGTAAGAGAGCGAGACTTGCTGGCCTCTTCTGTGCGTGGCCACATGTTTCCTCATGACGCCTGTCCGGCGCAGTGAGATGCCGTGACACGAACACCTCCCCACACACCTTAACAATGAGAACAAGGATAAAATTCATTTGAAAATGAAGGTACTGCACCCAGCACATGGCACAAAATCAGTCTATGAAACAGAAACAGGCTCACAGACAGAGACCTGAGCTGCACAGTGCAGGGGACTGGATACTCAGGGTCCTGGGATAAACCAAAATGGGAAATAACAGAGAAGCATGTCCATGTGTGTGACAGGGCCACTGCTGCGCAGCGGAATTTAACACAACATTGTAAGTCAACTGTATTGCAATAAAAAATTAAACATAAAAAACAAAAGGGAAGAAAAGAAAATGAAGGCACAAATGCTATGTTTGTGCTAAATAAAAATGTGCACTAAGCCAAATATTTAAGTGAATCGCACTAATTTATTCATTCACTCGCTCAACAAATCCTGGCTGTGAAGTGTGTATGTACAATTCCATGAGACCAAGTGCCGTGAAGTCAGAGTGGTGATCCAGTTGTGTATGGATTCCATACAGCTTGTCTTTCTTAAAGGTTAGTAAAGGACAGGAAAGCTCAGCGTGCTGCAGTTCATGGAGTCACAAAGAGTCAGACATGACTTAGCGACCAAAAAACAACAACTTCATCTACAGTTGACTGGAACACAAACAGCAACTTTTCCCATAGAAACAATGTTTACTGGATCCTCTGTAAAATATAAAACCTGTTTAGTTCATAATGTGTGTGCAACACGGCAGAACTGAGCCACTGTATGTAACAAACAAGGTCTCCTCGGAAGCCCCTTGACTCAGGATGCTGCTGAACCTGATTTCTGATCAGAGCTGGGGGCAAAACAGCAGATAGGAGGAGATCCGTCTCCAATGCAAGGGTTTCTACTCCTGAGGGCAGGAGAGGGCGAAGGGGGCAGTAAAGGGCTGGGGAAGGCAGCGGGTGGGGCCCACCTCCACTGGTGAAAGGTCAGCCGCAGGAGCAAGAGGGCGAGAGCGGGTCAGGTGATCCCAACACCAAATTCAGGCAAAGCTGCTGGTCTTGGGCAGAACCTCCCTAGCAAGGCTGCTTACACATAAAGCAGCTCTCCCTTCCCCTCCTCCTACAGAGCATCAGTGGCCAGCAGCCTTTGTCCAAGATGAAGAGAAGTGCTGCATAATAATTAAGATACTCAAAATAACCGAAATGGAAAATAAAGTCTCTGAATAATAGAACTTCTTATACCTCAACTGAAATGCTGGACAGTAAGTTTCAAGGGCTCTCCCTATAACACATATTAGAAAGTGTAAGATATACTATATTGCAGGAAATACACTTTAGGTTTAAGTATACAACAAACACATAAGTCTTCAGAGAAGAAACCTGTAAAAGCCTGTTCAAGAATTTTTAAAGAATAAATCCACGTCAGTGTTTCTTCTTCCTTCACAGAATAACCATGTGTACAACTTACAATTCCTGGAATAATTTTAGAGGATGGTCTTATTACAAGTCACTATACAGTTGATACATTGGAAATTGTTTTCTTGTTTCATAACTCTACCAAAGGCAGAACCATTATTTTTGCCAAAAGAATCTCAGAAATTGAGCTCTAATCATTAAGAATCTTTCCTAAACATCATCACCCAGTTTTTAACCTTCATTCTGCACTTCTACTTACCTGGCATTTATGGCAAGGTTTCCTAGGGTACAGTTAAGATCACCAAAAATAATCTGACGAACACAACTATGAACATTTCCCCAAACAGAACACACATGTGAACACAGGCTCTCATAAAGGCACTTTTTTCCCCCTTAGGAACATGTATGTACCTTCTGACCGCCTGGAGTTTCCACTGCGTGATGGTCTTTCAATTTCTGTTCTTGTTCCATTATATCCTTCAAATGTTCATTTACCTTAAAATATAAAAATATTAATTTTAATTTATAGTCAAATATAATAAAATAACACCTACCTTGAAACGCCTGTGTTCAGATCTCTGATGTCAAATATCAAGCCCACTCAAATGAACAGAACCTCATTTTCCCAACAAGAAAAAAGTATTTTACAGTATTTACAGATGTTTTGTTTGAAATCCTAAAATTAATTCATTACTTTACCAAATACTTGCTGAGTACCTACTACATGTCAGGAGCTAGCTAGAGTGCTGGGAAAAAAAGGTACTTGATAACTTCAGTTTTGATGCTTGCTGTAGTTTAGTCACTCAGTCATGCCTGACCCTTTGCGACCCCATGGACTGCAGCACACCAGCCTTCCCTGTCCTTCGCTATCTCCTGGAGTTTGCTCCAACTCACGGTCACTGAATTAATGATGCCATTCAACCATCTCATCCTCTGCTGCCCTCTTCTCCTTTTGCTAAGGAAACAATACAACTATTTTTCTGTAAAAATTTTCACAATCTCTTTCAGGATTAATAAGTGAAAACTATTTTCCTTAAAATTCATATTTTCATTATCAGTGGAAAACACTTTGTTTGGATTAAATTCTTAACCTGTGATTTCCTAGGCATGTCCCTGGATCATGAGTGGGGTTTAGTGTGGTCACAGGTCACAGTTAAAATACATGAAAAACTTTTGTATATAGGAGCTTCTCAGGGAGAAGATCTAACTTATCAGATTGTTCAAACAGCCTATAATTCAAGATGACTAAGAAACAATCTGTCAAGTATTTCTTGAGAATAGTTTAGATAATTTTGGATTTTGAGTTACTGATGAGTCATTCCAACAACAATAAATAAATGCTCAAATTAACTAATAATGGCAATCTAGAAAATATGAATGCCGTTATCAACCATTGTAAACTAAATCAATAATTTTTAAAATTCTGTTGCTTGAAATTCAGGTCTGTGCTTAAAAAAAAAGGACTGAAGAATTTTAATTTATGATAAACTTAGTTAACAGTTATTAACAGTCTTCTCTACCCATGACTACCCGAGGCGTTACAAGGAATTAACAGCACACACACTTGCTTTGGTGTGTAAGGCTGCTGCATGCCACATCTCAGAGCATCGACTCACTCAGCTGTGTAAAACACTTCCTGAGAGACGGCAGAAGCAGAAATGAGCTGGCTCTGACTCTGAATCCCCCACTTACAAGCCAGGACCTGATTTGTTGGTATCTCTGAGCGTGGTTGCTGGTCTGAAGGAAACCTACTCCATGCGTGGTTTGGGGGATGACGGCTCTGAGGAGGTCCCCAAGGATCCCGGTGTGGGCAGGGCTGAAAACTTGCTTCAAGCCCACCATGGTCGATGTGCTTGCTTCCACTGAGAGCACGAGCTCTTCGTGGTCTACACAGAGGCCAGGGTCCCAGCTTCCCGGAACCGGCAGAACCACGGCCTCATCCAAGTGACTCTCAAGGCCCAGCGGAGGCCTGGAAGCCAACGAGAGGCCAGTGAGGCCTGTAGCCGGACTCGGGTCTCCCACCTGACAGCTTCTTCTCCTTTCTCTAAGGCTCAGCTTTCCGGCACAAGCCTTTCTAACTACATTATTTATTTATGGTCTTACACATGTCACTTAAGCAAACCCAAAAATCATCTAATTGGCAATATGAAAAACTTATTTCATTCCTGGATGCAAAAAAAATTTATGCAGCACCCACAGAGTATATTCCCTACTCGCGAGTGCTCTGAATTTTGTACTAATCTGATATCAACTAGGTTAACCATAAAATGTAATGATAGATATTGCAGAATACATAAAATCTGTTTCCACCACTTTAACCATTTTTTGGGTTTTTTTTTTTTTTTTAAAGTCTAAAGGGAATGGGAACTGTTAAGTAAGACTGCGTGACTTTAATTTGTACTTTGACTTAAAACTAAAGAGTAGTGGAGTCTGTCTGAGTCCGATCGGGCTGCTACAACAAGAACACCAGAGGCAGGTGGCCTGTGAGCAATGGAAATGCATTTATCGGATTCCGGAGGCTGGGAAGTCCAAGGTGCCAGCAGACTGGGATTGGCGAGCCCGCTTCCTCACACGCAGAAGGGGCAAGGTGGCTCTCTGGGGTCTCTCTCATGAAGAGAGCAACCCTACTCCCACGTGAGGGCTAGCCTTCAGGACCTCTGAATACCAGCACACTGGGGGTCATGAGGTCAACATACAACTCTGCGGGGGGCACAGACTTTCAGTGCAGAGTGGGGAGGCACGGTGTCCATGGTTCTAAGACCACTGCTACCCAGGGGAGCACCCACCTTGTTGATCCAGTACGTGACGGCGTCCTCGATGTCGTAGGGCAGGTCTGTGGCCTGGAAGAAGGCTGAGTACTGCTGCGCGCAGGCGGCCACCTTCTCCACGCTGACCATCTCCACGGTGTAAGCCATCATGAGGGTGTCAATCATGGCCAGGTGAGCGCTCTGGAGACAGACCGAGAACGACCGTTAGAATCACTCTGAGAGACGGCTGCCTTTATACTGTTAAATGTTACTAACACTGCCTAACAAACGGGAGCAGGACTAAAGGCCATGAACAGTAAGCCTTGATAAGAGCATACACGGCACACACAGGCCAGGGTTGAGCTCAGGTGACCCAACCAGTTTATCACTCAGATGCTCCCTGAGGATCTCCATGCAAGGCGCTCACCATCTCCTACTCAGAGGAGGCTCCTTGTCCTGCTTTTCCTGGTTTTGAGAAGGTCACGATCATTTACTCAACAACACGACTGCAGACTTCAGCATCACCTCTGAGCGAGCTGTCTCTCGTCCGCAAGGAGTCGTGTACAGACTCCACTCCTGAAGTGTCCTCGAGTCTTGCCTCCTTGTCTGCCCACCTCCATTCCAGCTCATTCCAGCTCAGACACCACCACTTCTCACCCCAAACAAGGCAAAGAAGCCCCTGCTTTTCCCGGCTGCAGCTCCCCCCCATCCTCTGCCTCCATCACAGGACTGCTACTCTTTCCTTTGCTGCTGTCTTTCAAGAGGGGTAGTTTCATACAGAAATGTTACATCGGGGCAGCGGCAGGGGGTAAGGTCTTAAAATTTCCCAACATTACAAACTTCCTAAAGTCGAAAGCACCCTGTCCCCTCCTACTCCCCAAGCAGTGCCCATGGTCTGGAATGTATTCTCACCAAAAACTGTACTCCCCCACCCCCCAGGTAGACACTCACACTGCCTCCTGCCCTTTGGCATCGTAAACACACCACCACCCTGTATTTCTCCAGGGACAACTTTCACTGTGGGCTGCTGGGCCCAAGGGCAACCACACGTGCAGTTCTGAGAGACAACCACGAATCTGCTCGCTAGAAGGGTGGGGCAGCTTTCATCTCCCCCCAAGAGTGTTGCCAAGGGTGCCTGTTTCCCCACATTTTAGGTCAACATCAGACATAATGCACTTTTAATCATCTGTTATCCAGTCTGCAGGTTAAAAACCTTCCCCTGTTCAGACAGCACATTTCTCTGATTAATGAGGATGGGCATCTTTCTATACGTTTAGCAAATATTTGTATTTTTCCCCTCAGAAAACTGCTAGCTCATACCTCTGGCTTACATTTCTCTGTGAGATGGTCACCTTTCCATCTGTATTCTTGATCTGTAAGAGCTCATTATTTATTAGGTGTCATTTAATCATCAAATACCTTTTTCCAGCTTATCTTTGGACTTTCTACTTTATTTGGAATGTAATATTATATTAAGAACCAGAGATAAAATTGCCAACATCTGTTGCATCACAGAAAAAGCAAGAGAATTCCAGAAAAACATCTACTTCTGCTTCACTGACTACGCTAAAGCCTTTGACTATGTGGATCACAACAAATTGGAAAATTTTTCAAGAGATGGGAATACCACACCACCTTATCTGCCTCCTGAGAAATCTGTATGCACACTCAGAAGCAACAGTTATAACCAGACATGGCAACAACAGGCTGGTTTCAAACTGGGAAGAGTATGTCAAGAATGAATATTATCACTCTGCTTATTTAACTTATATGCAGAGTACATCATGAGAAATGCTGGACTGGATGAAGCATAAGCTGGAATCAAGATTGCCAGCAGAAATATCAATAACCTCAGATATTCAGATGACACCACCCTTATGGCAGAAAGCGAAGAAGAACTAAAGGGTCTCTTGAAGAAAGTGAAAGAGGAGAGTGAAAAAGTTGGGTTAAAACTCAACATTCAAAAACTAAGATCATGGCATCTGGTCCCATCACTTCATGGCAAACAGATGGGGAAACATGGAAACAGTGATGGACTTTATTTTTTTGGGCTCCAAAACCACTGCAGATGGTGACCCCAGCCATGAAATTAAAAGACAAGTACTCCTTGGAAGAAAAGCTATGACCAATCTAGACAGCATATTAAAAAGCAAAGACATTACTTTGCTGACAAAGGTCTAGTCTAAGCTGTAGTTTATCTAGTAGTCATGTATGGATGTGAGAGTTGGACCATAAAGAAAGCAGAGCACCAAAGAATTGATGCTTTTGAATTGTGGTGTTGGAGAAGACTCTTGAGAGTCTCCTGGACAGCAAGGAAATCAAACCAGTCAATCCTAAAGGAAATCAATCTTGAATATTCATTGGGAAGACTGATGCTAAAGCTGAAGCTCCAATACTTTGGCCATCTGATGCAAAGAACTGACTCACTGGAAAAGACTTTGATGCTGGGAAAGACTGAAGGCAGGGGGAGAAGGGGACGAGAGAGGATGAGATGGTTGGATGGCATCACTGACTCAATGGACATGAGTTTGAGTAAGCTCCGGGAGTTGGTGGTGGACAGGGAAGCCTGGTGTGCTGCTGTCCATGGAGTTGCAAAGAATCAGACATGACTGAGTGACTAAACTGACTGAACTGAATATTATATTGCAGAGAAGGTCTAAATATTGAATATTTACTTGGTAAAACCTGCCAATCTTAATGTTCTCCTCTATGACTGCAATTTCTCCCAAGTTTACAAAAGGCTCCACACCCCCCAAGAATATAAGAAAACTATACATTTTTTTTATTACCTTAAATCCACGTGGAATGACTTCTGAAGACGTTATAAACAGGGGACTAAGTTATGTTTCCAAATCAGAGATGCCATCATCTCATGCTCCCATAAAATCGACTTCATCTTCTACACAGTAAAGTCTAAGCTCCTTAAAAAGGGGAGTGCTCTTTATTAGCTGGCTCCACCCAGCAATCCAGCTTCACAACCTGCATTTCCCTCCCCTGTCTACACTCCCTTCAGAGCAGCTGCGGCAGAGCTCCGCTGTCCCCACGCCTGTGGCCCGGCTTCCCGCCCCACCCTCCTCACTGCAGGCAAGTCCTGCTCCAGGTCTGAGTGTCACCCCCTCTGACTCGCTTTCCAGCTCGTTCTCCCTACAGAGCGAGGACAGCTCCCCGCAGAGTGCTGCTTGCACTAGCACGAAACCCGCCTTTTCTCTCAGTTTTACTGAGACGTCACCAACATAGCGCACCATGTGAGTTTAAGCCTGGACACACGGCACTGTGAAATGACGGGTACAAGAGATTCAGTGACAGGTGCACCGAATCCTGACTGAGTCCTGGCGTGGCCACGAGCAACAGCATCTTTACACAGCTCCTTGGACGAGGCTAGTGAGCACCGCACAGACTGGCTGGCCACAGGATGGGCACTGGCTCCCTGGTGAGAGGGTGAGACCCCAAGGGCAAGGGCATCTTCGGAGCTACCTTCGCATCCCCTGTATCTGACACAGCGCCTGGCAACACACAGGGGCTGAAGGAAGGAAAGGAGCTAACCTACTGCTCACTGTAAAGAGGGAGGCATGAGCTCGACTCTGGAGGTCAGGACGTAGGCTTGACTCGGAGGTGGGGGACCAGGGCACTGAAGACTCAGCAGTGTTGACGGGAGGGCAGGGGCCTGTCAGAAGCAGCATGCTTGATAATGGCCAACAGAAAACCAGTGCTGACTCAGATGCTGTGCTGAGTACTTTACTAACATACCAGCTCTTCCATTTCAAATCTGTTCTGAATTAAGACTGGAGATAACATACACCTTTTCTAACCCTTAAAGCTTGGAAGGAAGCATCACTCATGCTCTTAACGTGAGGAAGCTAAAGCTCTGAAAGTTAAAATGGTCTGTCCCAATCCATGCGCTGCTTCTACTGTGTCATCCAGTTGGCAGAAATTAAATCAGCTAGTGAGGCAAGAAAGATGTTCTGGAAATGATAAACAGACATCATATTCAAGAAAGAAAAGCAAGCACATGAACTTCCAGTCGTATTTTCACACACTCCGCCTCCCTGTCAGGCTGCTACTGTCCGGGGACCCGAGGTCTTCCTTCAGACTCGGGGGGACTTGGTGTCCACCCTGTGTGCCTTCACGCGAGGGTTCACGCGCACTCTCTGCTCACCTGAGCCCTAGGGGGTGGGGCCCTGTCTTTCTCAGCTCTGCTCCCAGCACAAGGGCTTAATAGCATTCCAAAGCATAATTCTACTGAACAAACTGTGGAAAAACATCTCAAGAGCTGTAAAACCATTCACATCCTCTTTACTAAGACTCTTTCTCTTGGCAATTTATTCCACAGATAAGATTTAAGAGAGAAAAAAAGACCTGCATGAATGAAATTGACCATTACTCAATTATATGCAAGAAGAAAGGAAGCAATGGTACAGCCACAATTAAGAATTCATGCTCTCCTAAGCTATTTAACAACAGGAGAAAATGTGCTCAACATAATACTGAGTGGAAAAAGCAACACCTGTAATAATGTTCACAAGACAAACATGCACATGGGGAGAGATACATGTGTGTACATACACATCCTGAATACACCTATAATATACATAAGACAGGAAGAGAAAGGACAAGAATAAGAGTAAAACTTGCTTAGACATGACCCTATAATAATATGCAGAACATTACATATAATCAGTAATATATTTTCAGAACAAACGTCATCTCACTGATTACTTCAAAATACTCCTAAATTCAAGAACAAATTTAAAAACTTATTCCACTACTGTGTTTATAGATATTTCCATAAGATGTTCACCTACTTTTAACCTAAGAATCTTCAAATTTGAGTATTATTTTTTTACCCCTTAACTTTATAATGTGGAGAAGTAATTTAAAAATTATGTATAACAGGAACTGTATACATAATGAATCTAGACAAGATCAACAGTGAAAAATAAATGGTAGGCTACAATCAATCCATCTGGACTGATTTATGTCTCTAAATTAAATACACACGTTCAATTTTTTACCCCAAGAATTAAGGCCAAATAGTAACAGCAGCCTGTTTGGCCTGGAGAATCCCAGGGACGGCAGAGCCTGGTGAGCTGCATCTATGGGGTCGCGCAGAGTGACCGCCAGCACTGAGAGCGGCGCTGTGAGACGCGCAGCCACCGGCCAGAGCAGGGAACGGCCGGCGCGCAGTGAGAGCGCCAGGGGGC